AAACTGTATCAAGTCGAAAGTACAGAAAATGCTTGAGAAATACTCACCTGAGGTGGCGAAAACCAAGAAGAACGCTAAGAAATTAACACATAAGCCTACAAAACCAAATAAGAAAGTTACTGCAAAAAAACAGGGTCGATAGCGTTGAACATACCCATGAAACTTTCTTCCGGATATGGCGAGGACATTCAGAAATCCATAAACTAACGGAACTTCGATAATTCCGTAAGATTTCTTGTGCACAATTAGTCAAACAAAGGATGTACTTGGTAATCGTTATCCTCAAATCAATTTCTTGTCCTTGGGTAGCTGATCTTTAAACGGGTACTAACATATATCTTATTTCTGTGGATATCTTAGACATTCAGTCAAGTTACTGGCTCAAAATGAATTGAAAGATAATTTTCTTTCGTAAATTACTCTTTGTGATCATATTCGATCAACTGTGTCTGTACCAAATTCATGTTTTCATTGTAATTACTTTGATATGTTCTCATAACATTGTTTCCAAATGGTGCATTTCAACTGTCCTCATTATTATTGTTGTTACATAATTTATGTTTCGAATAAAATTTAAACCATTGCTACAGCTCCTGAATGATTCTCCACGCATTATAAATCTGCATCACGTTCTTACGGCTTTAGAAGGCAAAGGATGAACCGTGCTGAAAATGAAACGTTTCACTGCAAAAGGCTAAGGGGAGTGGGCGGTGCCCATTGTCCAAGCCGCTTGTGTAAGCTACCGTAATGCGGTCGCACTGACCAATCGGAAACATTGGAGCGTTGCACCTACTTAGGAATATACCGTAATGGGAAAGTTGTTGACCAATGACTATTGAGGAACTCGAAAACAATGTTCGTGCGCAAATTTTAGCAGAAACTTTTTGCTTACGACGTAAGACTGCTTGATGTGATTCACTGAATTTGTTGTTCATTTAATACAATTTACCAGAAGCAATTCATATTTCCACGGCCTTATTTTCGGCAAAGTATGTGAAATTGATAGCAGATTTTGTTTATAAGGTGTGATTGAAGCGAAGAGTCTTCGGATTTCTTGAAACTGCCGCAGTGTTGAAGCTAGAATGTGACAGAAATCCACTGGATGGAAACCAATAGTGTTGAGTAATGCAATATTCGGAAATGGACAAGAAATATGGGTTGCAGTGTCGAAACTCAACAAGTTATGTAGATCATGATTAAGATGCAGAAACCGAAATGCACGGAATAGGACCGAATAAAAGTCTACAAATTAGGAGAAATTACCCGGAAACATGCGGATGACATGTTTCGACTGCCTCACAGAATCATGTTTGGGACGAATGCTGGAAATTGCGAACTAAACGAATACAGCTGATTGGGTGAGTGGCAATTCACGACAACGGCAATGTGCACTTTTAAAATTTCGTCATTCTTATGGAGACGTGGACACTCAAAAGGACATTCAACTTACATCATCTAATGTGTGAAATGGAGAAATCTTTCGTCATGTTTAGCACATGCCGGACCTCGCTCGTACATGATTTACGTCGCTCAACCCAGTCTCCGGCATCGTTTTAGTGTTTATGTCGGAAAAAAAATTAAATTGAGGATTCCATTTTTTCAGACTCTCTTATTGTTTTATTTACGTGTGACACGTGCCCAGGGACCAATGAGGTCAGTAGGACCTGTGCAAGGGCTGCGTTGGATTAGCAGTTTCAAGCTTCACATCTACGTGCTCCTGTTATGTGCATCAATAGTCGGTAAGTCTCATGTAAAATTCTCCAGTTTCCTAATTTTCCATCTAGTTTGCATGAGTATGTATTGCTTTTTTTAGCATGTGACGATCGTGTACGATTGGAAGATGTTACCACTCTAACGTTGGTGAAGGGGCAGATGACCGCTGGACGACGTTCAGCGCCTGTCCCGCAATTGCAATGTATTGGTGGTAGCGCAAAAGGCCGTTATGAACCACGAGTAAGCAGTTCTTTCAGCTAATGTTTTGTGCGGAAATGTACGGCACATCTGAACGCATGCGCTCATATTTTATGATATTTTTAGATTTTTTCTCAGGAAGTTTCTTCTCTTAATTTCTTTCCATCCAGTTTGATTCAACATCAGCAAATGGGTGTTATATTTTTTGATACAGATCATTGAGGTTACGAAATCTGATGGATTTGAATAATCCAGCTATAAAGCTAGTATTATCTAGTGTCAATCAACTTAAGCTAATATCAATCCAGTGATTGGTATTATCTCAGTTTTCCTTTGTAGCGTATATTCTTTATGTGATTTGGTTCAGGTTGTGCAATGTTACAATCGAGGATTCGATGGCATCTC